CCACTAAGGTCAAATAAGTCTACTTTTCCTCTGAGAAGCCCTTTTTCCTTTGTCAGTAATGGATGACCAGGGCTTAACAAAGCAGAAGATGTGGGGTTTTATGTGCTAGGAATAGTTCTATGCTAAGTTTCATCCTGTGAATGTTGTCAAAGAGTTTAAGATAACATTGTTTCTCATATTGTCAGATCTCATCATGACAGTCTGTCTGCCCCCCTGTACCACAGGACCAAGGTTCTTGACTTTTGCAGTTCAGGCACTGGAACTGCCACTGTGAAATAATAACAGTGAAAACTTGGGTTTTACATGCACTGACTGTATGTGGATATAGTACTTTACACACATCTCATATTTCATTCAAATTGAAGAAGTTAATAACTTGCAGAGCATGGCAAAAACTTGTTCAAAATCTGTATTTTAATGGTTCAATTTACTTTCATTGTTCACTGAAGACACTATAATCAGTATTTTTTGTGTACATCTTTATGTTTTTTAAGTTGACAAAAGTGTATATATTTATAGTGTACAACATGATGTTTTAAAATATGTATATATAAGTTAGAGAATGGCTAAATTGAGCTAATTAACATGTCTTGCCTCACATACTTACCATTTTTTTATGGTGAGAGTACTTAAATTCTCTCAGTGATTTTCAAATATAAAGTGTGTTGTTATTGACTATGGCCACCATATTGTATAAGAGAGCTCTTAAAGTTATTCTTTCTCATATTTTGTATTTTTTGACCAAATATTTCCTCAACCTCCCTCCCCTAAACCCCCAATCCTTGGTAACTACTATTCTACTTTCTGCTTCTGAGATTACCTTATCCTATATATCAGTGAGATTATGTGGTTTTTGTCTTTCCTTGCCTGACTTATTTCACTTAATGTAATATCTGGTCTGAATACAAAGTACATGTCCTTGCCTACTGCATTTCACCTGGCACTCCAGTGGTCTGACATACTGAAATGCATGTATGTATGTGTGCATATTGTATTAAATGTGTGTGTCATGCACCTGTACTTCTGTGTGTATAATGTTCGTAATGTTTAATAAGTAATTTGAAGCAGCTTAGAATTTATTTTTAATTTAATTTTTATTAGCATAAATTAATTGTACAAAGGGGTTTCGTTGTGATATTTACAACATGCAAATGTACTAAGGTACTTTGATCAAATTCATCTCATCTATGTTTTTCTTTTTAATGCCTTTCTCTTCTCTCATCTTCTTTTTAACAATTTTTGGTGGGTTTCATTAGGCTAGCTATTTCATATATGTATGTGTGTGTATATATATATATACACAATATATATATACACTATATATATGCACTATATATATACTATATATATATATACACTATATATATGCACTATATATATATACTATATATATATATATATCTATACACACACACACACACACGCACACACACACACATATGTACTTCTACAATATTTCCTGTCACCCTCTCTTTTCATCATCTCCCACCTGGTGGACCCACCACCAAACAGTTCCCCTTTTACAATCATGTCATATTATTATTATTATTTAGGTCCAGAGTCCACATATGAGCAAAATCATGCAACAGTTGACTTTCTGAGCGTGGCTTATCTCACTTAACATTATGATCTCCATTTCCATCCATTTTCCTGCAAATGACATGATTTCATTCTTCTTTATGGCTAAATAATACTCCATTATACATATGTACCACATTTTCTTTGTCTAACTATTGATTGTTGGGCACCAAGGCTGCTATTCTAGTGTTTCTGTAAACATGAGTATATAGGTATCTCTCTTGTATGCTGCTTTAGTTTCCTTCTGATATGCGCCCATGAGTGGGATAGCAGGATCATATGGTAGTTTTAATTTCTGATTTTGAAGGTAGTTACATCCATAAGAGTAATGTGTCTTAAAACCAAAATTTGGATAGGAATTTCTGATAAAATGTCAGTGACAATTTAAAGGCTTAAATGTATTCTCTGTGTCAAGAGACTCCATCTTATAATTTCCATTCTGTCTGACCCATATATACTGAATTTTCAAAAGCCTTCATCAAAGGGTGTGTTACATACTATCTGTTGTACACTTATACAATCATTTTTCTGTCTTCTGCCCTGTCATCCTATTGCCTAGAAACATGTGTGGTCAATTAAAATTTAACCCAAAAATGGAAATACTATTTGATGATGGCCTCCAGAAAAGCAAAGCATACTAAAGTGAGAGTTCAGAGCTGCTCTGCCCCGGCTCTGTAAGATACAAATCAAAATCTGCAGTGACTACTGCCAACCACCAGGCTGGCAGCCTTGATTGCACCACCTCAGTCCACAGTGGTGAAACTGGCACCAGTGCAGAATGTTCAGTTTCTCTTGGGCCTGACTGGGAGGAGCAGCTGTTGCCCTGTCTCGGATAGAGTGACATACTCTAGGAGAAACAGAGTCCTAATTAGATAAAGATTAATTCCTCTTTCCACCAGCCCTCTCAAAAACAAAAACACTGCTAGAAAAGTCCAAAATGTGGTGAGCAAAAGATCAATTTGTGTTGGATGCAGCAATTGCTTCATTTTCTTAAGATACATGTTTCTTCTTCAAAATGCCAAAAGAACCACTTTTGAAAACTGTATCATGTATAGTTAATTTTTATCTTTACACTCAAGTATTTCTTGCATATACAAAATGTACATTATGGAAAATATACAAGTTTTACTGTACTAGAGTTTAATGTTTGAAGTATTATATAGCATGCTTATATTCTCAATATTATTTTTATTTATTTAGAACAATATTTGTAGATATATATTTTAAGCACAACAGGAGTAATGAAATTCCATAGACAAAACATTACAATTAAAATAAAATACATTAATATTTAACTTATATGCAAAAATATTCTCTGAGAAATACAAGAGATTAAAACTATAGCCTGAGTTAGTTTTTTTCATACTTAATTGTCTTTCAAAGATAACTGAAGCTAAATGCAATTCAAAACCTTAAAAGCCAGTGAGCTATTACTACTGAAAGAATGTAGTTGCTCCTAACATATAAATAAATATATGAAAATACATTATTAAAATCTAAAAATAATAAATTTAAATAATTACCTTACTAAGATTACACAACCAATTTGGAAATTCAAAACTATCATTTCACCATGAGGTCACTGATTATTTTTGTCTGGGTCTTGTATAACTTTCATGCTCAAGGGAATGTGTTTGGCCTTGAGGAGCTCTGGGAACCAAAATAAGACACAGAGCCTGCCCTTAAAGAGCTTCCAGTTTAGTGGGGAAGCTAGACTGGAACACAGACCCTTACAATACACCATGAGAAGCTCTGGGTAGGGTCCTCTCATCCTACAGGAAGCAACACCTCAGCTGACATCTTCAAGGTAACCAGTTAATCAGGAGAAGAAGGTGGAAAGATTTCAGGTAAAGGGAAAAAGGAATGCAAAGATCCTGAGGTCCAAGAAAGCATGGTTTATTCTGCAGCAGCGCTTCCTATACAAAGGTTCTTAGGCACTTGCTAAATCACAGTAGAATGAGGACAATATGGTAAGCCTTTTCAAAGCTAGAGTCACTCAATTCTAATGCCTAGTGTATGATCATCTTATATTCTGTCATTCCAATAAGTAACCCCCTTTATTATGAAATGACAGTAATAGTAGTTGTTATTTTTTTTTAAATAGTTGACCCTATTTTAAAAATTAAGGTTTTATACTAGCATATAAAAGTTTAAGGTCAAATTAACGTTCTATACAGGTGTTTAAAACCCTGCGGTCTGGGAATCACTGTTGAAAGAATGAGCTTCAAAAGAAATATGATATGGTTAAAAGAGAGACATCAAGAGATAAGGCTAAAGAGGAAGGCAGGAGTTAGATCATGAAGGGCCATAGGAGAACTTGGACTTTAACCTATCAGCAATGGGAATGAAACTCTACATACAAGGATCATTCTGGGATGTGGTGTGTAGAATATGTGTGCAATAGGGCAATGTAGTAGGCAGGCAAGTCAGATAAACAGCCCTGTGTTATCCCAGGAGAAAAAGGTGATTATAGCCAGGCTTAGGGCCACATTGGTGGAACTGAGTAAAAAAAGATGACTTTAAGAGCAAAATGTAATAGGATTTAGTGATTTTGTTTGTTTGTTATATTCGGTAAGAAAATGGGGCAGTCAGTGTTCATGTCCAGTCTTTTTTATTTTGGAAAATGAGCTGATCATCATGATAACTGCTGAACCAGAGAATATAAGAGAAAGAGCTTTTTTGTGAGGTATCTTTGTGTTCAAATGTCTATCAGGCCGATTACCCACATTGGCCTCAGGCACATGAGAGAAAGTTGAGCTTTGAATATAAATTTTGCAGTTACCAGCAAAATGATTGCAAAAATGCAAGAGGATGAAATTTCCCAAAGACGACATGTTATTAATGGATTGGCAGGATATGAGCAACAAAGAAAGAAGTCAGAGACAGAGCGGCTAGGGAAATAAGAGGAGAACTGAGAACAAGTGAAAGAATAGTGAAAGCCAAGGAAGGAACTATCACTTCAAGAAGGAACAGGCAACAGTATCAGATGCTACAGGAATCCACTGGATGAGGGATTGAAAGGTGCTCATTTTTCTTGGGAGTTTGAGAAGGGCAGTGGAGGCAGAAGAGGCCAGACTACAGCTTATGAACCTGTAGGCAGGAAGCAGCTCTTTTTTTTCCACAGTGGGACCATCAAAGAAAGGAGAAATGGCACAGTAGACATAGAGATTTGACCATGGATATTGTAGGAACAAGTTGATAAGAAGAATTTGAAGACTTCTAGATAATCTATAGAAGTTAAATACAAAGTATTGACTATCAAAAAAAATGTGAAGGTCTTTAATAATGGTCAATATGTACCCTATAGGGACGCAATGCACCTATAAAATTGTCCATGGAGTTAAACACACTTAATAATGTAAAATGATTCCAACAAACCTCTGAGGGAATCACATTTTAAAACATTTTAAAAATCACATTTGAAAATATTAATTTTATGCTATGGCAATTTTAACCCTTGTCCATAGAGATCATATTCTTTAAATAATATGTATCTTTGAATAGCTGTTGGTAGAGGAAGCTTCTGCATGGATGCCGGCTGGCTGAGTCGACGGAGGCCCATAAGTCTTCGAATTTTTAACCGACACAAATGCTTTAATGAGCAAGGATTCTCTAGGATGAATAGGAAAAACAAGCAAAAGTTAAAAACAATATTAGTGAGTTGACCTATAAGGTCAATCTTAGTAATTCTGAATGTGTACACATTAGCAGCTGGTGATTTTGAATGAAATTCACATAGTAATTAAGAATTCTAGACTACCACTCTAGAATATAAGCTCTGTGTGGGCAGAGATCTAGTCTGTGTCTGTGGTAAGAAGGGAGTCTGACTCCAGATGTGCATTGAACTAGAATCTGTTAAAAGAATGAGTGGACTTGATTTAAGAATGCTCACATTTCCTTCTGTCTATTTCTTTTTAGAACTGAATATTACAGAGATACATTTCTTTACTTCCTCTATCTTCTACCAATCTTTTTGATGAATAGTCACCTAGAAAACATCAATATGATTATAATCAATTATGACACTATAAATTCTTCATAATTCAACCTGAGGTTTGTTTGTTTCCAGTGTCTATATGTAAACATTTTATAATGAAAAAATTAACTTTATTCACATATCTGAAGTTAGCCTTTATTTTTAATTCTTACTTTGTAACACTGATACATTATACTAGAAAAATGAACTAGTAAAAGGGCAACATAGTAGACAGACTTAAATGTTCGCTCAGGACGCAGTCAACTTGGATTAAAATCCTGGCTCTGCTACTTTGTTTGTGACCTCAGACAATTTATTTAACTTCTGTGATTTTAATACTCTCATCTGTGAAATGTGCTTAACAATTGTAACTACTTCATAGGCTTATGAACAAGTTAATTCATAAAAACTATTAGAAAAGTACCTGAAGCACTGTACCACTCAATAAAATTTAACTATTAAAATCAATATTAAAAGTGATAACATTTCTGCTACAGTTGAAATTTTAAATTCCCCAAATCATTGTCTTTTAAAATTTAAATAATATTTTTCAAAAAATTATTTGGGCAAAATCATTGTTACCTTGGCAGAAAAAAAAATCCATCTTTTAAAGAAATTGCAAATTTTCCCTAACAAATACACTGCCTTACATATCCCTGGAGGAATCCTGACATCCAGTGGTTGACTATAGCATGGTCAACTAAGAGACTGGTTGCAGGAATGTATGATAAAAACCAAAAAAATCTCGCTGGCTTTATTCTTTCTTAGATTGTCTTTCTAAAGTCATTAGGATTGGAAATTATTTTGCAATAAAAACATATGGACAAGTAATTCTCATTTAGAAGCAAAATCTGTACTGTCTCTGATTGAAAGTATATTGATAGTGAGGAAAGAGCCACAAATTAGAGTTCAAATCCCTGTTTTGTTATTATCAGGGTCTATAATTTTGGGAAATTAATCTAAACCTTATTATTTTCCCCTTGAAATATCTAAATTGTTTAAGAATTTTTATTATGAAATATAATACAGATAGAGAAATCACAACTATGTATAGTTTTATAAGTTACTACAAACGATTATTAGGTGAACATCTTTAATCACCACTTAGGTCATGAAATAAAACCATGCTGGTCACCTCAGGATTCCCTCTTCAATCCATCCAATTTTCATCCCTTCCTTTCTCCCATAAGTAGCTACTATTCTGACTTTTATAGCAATCATTTCTAGACTCACAACACTGCATTATTCATCAGACTGTCTAGGATTTTTGTTTCAGTTGTTTCACAGTCTCTTCTATTACAGAACTCATTCTAGGAGAGGTTTGATTTAGATGTCATGTAATGACCTGCGATGCTTTTTTAAGCTCCATGAAATTGATGTTCAAGTGGGTTTTGAAAATTCATTTTCTCAAACTTGAAAGAGAAAACCTTGCCACTCTGATATTTTCCCCTAGTTTCCATTTGTATTTGTAGTAATTCAAAATTTGCTTTTCTTAAAACTTTTATTTTTTTGCTTTTCATGGTTCTGAGAATTGAACTCAGTGCCAGGCACATACTAAGAGAAGTTCTCTGCCACTGAGCTACACCCTCATGTCCTCTTGAAACTTTTATAGTATGATTCACTTTCATGATTAAACTCTCACCTAGAGATGCAAAATGGCCTGCTTATAATACAAATCTTTGACAGTAGGATTTTGTCAGTAAACATCTGAGGGAAAGAATTTCATAAAGAATAATTTTAATCCTTTCCATTCTTTCATTTGCTCTATAAGGATTTATTGAGTATTTACTGCTCACCAGGTACAGTGTTAAGCCTTCAGAGTGTAAAAAGAAACAAAACAGACCTCTGCCCACATGGAGACAAAGTCTACATAATATATATGTAGACTGTATAATTAACTTCTATTTAACAGAAGTTAATTTTCAAAAAATGAGTTATAGTCAGAATATTAAATATAGCTATAGCATTACTCCTTATCTAATTAAAGAGTTGGGAAATATCAAGAAAACCCTCAAATTTGTATCTTATGGCTGAGGAAGTTTTAAGGATGAGTAAGAAAAAAAAAAAGGGTAATCCCAAGTAGGGTATAATAGCTCTAAAAAAGGATCAAAGATATTAAAAAATGTTTCTCATATACATTTTTAATCACAAAAATTGCAGGCAAAAAATTTGTTTTTACCTAGTATTTGGCGGATTTCTGGCCACTCTCTCTGTACTTCTAGTGCAGACTTCAGTTTAGCACACAGAGGGACATAATCCACGTAATCTATTAGCACACGAACAATGCTGCCTACCAGGTGTCTCATCCAAGGAACTGTAATAAACTCACAGAACTGAGAAGAGAAAACTTAACTTAGTAGTGCTTAAAAATGCCAGCTACATAAGCACTTTATATTGTCAAGAAAAGCTACTGTCTTCTTTTTATAAGAAATAAAAATTCCTTCTTTATGAACAAAAATGAAAACTAAACCATTTGCTTTCTTCTATGAACTAATAACATTAAAGACATACATATGATCCATATGTGATTGTAGTCAACAGAACATGGAAGAACTATGCTTTTTTCTGTCTAGTCCCAATATTCCACCAAGTAAGAATAAGTGATTAATTGCATACGTTTTTATATTCTTCTGCATTTCATTGCCATTTCATGAAAAATAAACAGTGCCCTTATGCTTAGATCCCTATATCATTTCAAATAAAAATTCAAGAAAAAAATGTATAAAGTTTAGAGTTGATTTTTCTTTCTTGCAATATAAGTATATTTTCTTGTATAAGTGAAAATTTGTGAATTAGGCTACAAAACACATATTCTCCTTAACAACACATGGAACATCCTCCATGATAGATCATATATTAGACATAGTAAATCAAAATCACTTCAATTACTTTTCTGACCATATGGTATAAACCTAGGAATCAATAATAGGAGAAAATTCAACAACTTTACAAATACAGAAAAACTAAATAACATGCTCCTGAGTAGCCAATGGGTCAATGAAGAAATCAAAGGGGATATTTAAAATAAAAAATTAAAACATTAAGAGTTTAAAAATTTCTTGATACAAGTACAAGTTAGGATGTTGATCCAATATGTAGAAGGATATAACTTACTGGGTTGTCTTTTATTATACAAGATGTCCATCCTGGTAGTACTTCCTCCTCTATCTCTGACCACACAAATGAATTTCCAAAGATGTTCCCGTGCATGCAGTCAAAGCACATCTCCACTTGGTAGCCATTATTCAGCAACAGCCTCAGCATGACCTCATCATTTAGGGCATATTGAATGGCACTGGGGAATCGGGTGTCATTCACATGCATAAAGTAACAGTTGACATTTGCTCCATGGGAGAGAAGCAGTCGCACAATTTCATGATTATTGGCCCTCACTGCCACAAGTAGACAGTTGAGAGGATCTAGGTTTGGGTCTGCACCTGCAGCCAGAAGAACTTCTGTGCAATGGATATCATTATTAGAAACGGCAAAGTACAATGCAGACTTTCTCTCATCGTCATAGCTCTGGGAAATGTGGTCAGCAAGTAGGGTGTTGACATCAAAACCATTTTCAATGAGCAGTTCCAGGCACTGTGCATTTTGTCCATCAGCTGCTGAGTGAATTGGAGTTAGCCCACTTTTTTGGATTGCATGTTTGGAGGTTACAGGGATAAGATACTTCAGCGCACTATAACAAACAAAATAAAAAACCTTAACTATTCCCAGAGCAAAAAGAAAATCAAATGGTTAATTAAGCCTTCTTTCTCACTATACAAATGAATGCAGTTTTAGTTTTCCTTATTTTCACCAGAAAGCTTTATAAGTGAAATGTTTAACCCTTTGTCCATCAAGCTACAAGTATGTAGTTTAGTATAATTTAAATGGGTTTTTACTTATTTCCTATTCTAATATTCCTGGGGAATATGCTACAACTTATGCTTGATCCTAGATGTGATTCTTTAGGGCTTCTCGTCATGTTCCAATTATTCTCTGAACAATATAATTTTTATAAGCAACCAATACTATCTAATAAAAAATATGAAAGAAAGTAAGCCTTTCAGATAGCATAGAAGAACACCTCATAATCTTGACCATTAGAACCATGACTTGATCATGCAGGAAGGGCTAGAATGTTGAACTTTCAGATTCTCATTAGTAATTCCTCTTTCAGAGGTTCCTAAGCTGTCTGTTCTTTAACATTGCCCATGTATATCCTCTCTCCTTCCATATCATTTCCAATTCAATTATTAGTGAAAAGAAGAATCTTCACTATTCTATCAAACTTACATTGGTCCAATTGGAACTGACCACAGCTTATGTTTCTAAGTACATGTGATAAATAGCTGTGAATTTCACACTTGACTAACCAACTAGACATGCATGAGAACCATCAACAAGGATAACTTGATCTCTTGTGCCTAATTCAGAGCTTCCATGTGTGAATTTATGAACACTGGGAGTAAATCCAGGTAAACTTTAACATCAATTGTGTTAAATCATTGACCCCTTAACTTAGCCAATGTGGCCACAAAATGATGAAGCCTAACTACCTCAACTTTCTGAACTTTATTAATTGTCCAAAACCATCTTCTCATTGTGGGCAATGTTTATATCATGATTGTAAACTTCTGTTAGTGTGTTGATTATAAAACATTTTGTGATTTAAAAATCTACTCAACCATTTGTGTGGGAAAAAAGAAATCTTAAACTAATAATAAAACTTTTCTATTCAATAATACATTTAAATTATAATATCCTGGAGATGCTAGAAAATAATTAAACTAACTCAGAGTATGGTTTCAAATTTTAATCCTTTGTTAAGGGCAAAAGTTTTAGAAAATTTAGCCTTTTGTTTTTTTAACAGAAAAACACTATTGGGCAGCTTGCTCAGAGTTCTCAACTATAACTTAATTCTTATAAAAAAGAGAATAAAAGAAACTCTCTTTTCATTATAAAAATAGTGTAAATTCATTTTGTGGAAGTTCAAGAATATAAAATGTAAGGGGAAGAATCAAATAATTTCTGCACATTGAAATATAAAACTTGTGAACATTTTGCCTATTTCTCTTTGTATTTAGGAGGGTATCATATACAGAGAGACTTTTGATTGTAATACTGTATATAAAATTTTGCATTTTTTTTAAGTTAAAGTGATCACCTTATAATGTATTACTCACAGATAATGACCCTCATAGGCAGCTCGGTGTATAGGAAGATGCCCGGCTCTGTTGGGCACATTTCCACTTCCTCCATATTCCAGTAGGAGGGAAATGCAGTCAGGGTTACCACCTCCTGCAGCCTCAAACAAGAGTGATGCCCCATCATCCGCCAAAGCAAACACATCACCACCTGCCAATATAAAACCCGCGGCTTAGGATGACTAAACAGCATTGTTAAGATAGTCCTTAAAAATAGCCTGTTGATTTCCTTTCTAGTTAGAACTTAACATTAAAAATATAGAATTTAGACCATCTATTTTTTCCACAATTTCAATGAACAGTTATATAATATGTTTCACTTTATTAAAAAATATTTGGATCACAAAAACATGGGAGAAACCAAGTTCATTTCCATGATCGATAAATTCTTCTAGAAAAAGAATTTTAGAATTTTGAATTTTAAATTATGATGATAGTTAACACTCTATTCAATTCAATAACTGTTTATTGGTATGTTCTAGGTGTAAACACTGTGTGTGTTCCTAAAATGAAAAAGTCTAACTACCTTAAGTAATTTCCTTTAAAGGGAAAATGAAACAAAATGTCATTGGAGAACATAAAACATCAATAGTAGGATACAGTGTAAGAGAAAGAGGACTTGAATACAGTTCTGATGTTTACTTTGAGAACTGGGGCAAACTATCCTGTGGGTCTCCACCTCTGCATCTGTAAAACAGAGCAATACAGCTTATTTCACAGGATTATTTGATAATTAAATGAGGTTTCATTGGGAGATTTCAAAAATGTTAATTATTTTTCCTATAGAGGATTTCTTGGGGATCATGTGGTCCTAGCTTTCATTTATAGATGAGGAATCTGAAGACCAGACGTTTAAGCAAGTAGGAAAGTACCTCAAAAGGAGTAGGTGGAGAAGTCAATGTAGGAATTAGGTTTCTTAACTCCTAATTCTGTAGGTGTATAAAGCACTTTGAATATACAAAGAGGGGCAATGTCACAATCTGTCTCAACAGATTGACCTTGAATTTTGCCTGAAAGTATTCCAAATGAGGGCAAGGATGTGATCCAAACCAGGCACAGGGAACACTGCTAGCCTATTTGGATGGCCTGTAAGATACAAGATGGGAACAGTGAGCTATGAGCCTGGAAAAACAATTCAAGTTGATGCTGTGGAGATGCTTTTAAATAGTATGCAATACTGTGGTTGTCCTTTAAGGAGAGGAACCAAATTGCAGTGTGGATTCTGACATAGAGAGGTTGGAACCTTAGAAAATGGTTAGGAAATGATTCTGGGCTTGACCAGGATGACAGACTAATGGCAAGGTAAGGAGAAGAGAGACATTATAGGACTTTATGACTGATTGGGCTGAGAAAGAAGGTGATAGGAAAGAAGGAATTAGAGACAAACCCAACCTTTCAGTCCTTTTGGAAAGAAACGACTATATCAGAAAGTGGGGAAAGAGAAGGAATTCAGCTTAGGACAAGATGAGAGTAAGACCGTGGCAAGCTATCTACATGGAAGCTGAGCTATCGTTTTTAGACAGCAGTCAGGGCTGGGCTTGTAGAGCTGCAGGTGACAGTGTATAGGCTTCCACCATGTAGAACAGGGGTCTACTGAGGGGGCTAGGTCTGAAAGCCTCATGCCCAGTTATAATCAGGGAAAGAAGAGGAGCCCATGAAGAATGGAGAAGAGGAGAGTCAGAAAGGCAGGACAAAAGGCAGGAAAGCATCACTCCTTTTCACATACCTTTGTGAATTAGATGTTCTAATACATCACAGTGGCCATACTCAGCAGCAACACCTAGTGGAGTGACTCCAAATCCATCTCTCAGATGGACATTTCCTCCATGGTTGAGTAACAGAGCTATGATATCGTTTCGACCTTGCTTAGCTGCTTCATGCATTGCTGACCATTGCTTGACACACGGTTGGTCAAGGCTGGTGTTGTGTTTAATCAGCACAGATACTATGTCGTAGGAGCCCCTTTTTATAGCTTGAAAATGATTTTAAACAAGAACAGCCAACAGAAATGCATATTAACATGAATACTTTACATGGTATTAAGCTACCAAATTTAATATTAAAATAGATGTAGTTACTCCTTTTCCTTCTATAAGGTAATATTGTATTTCTCCTACTATTTTTATTTATCATACCCAAATTTCTATTTGTGGAGAATAAGTATGCAAGATGATACTACCTTTCCTTTGTAAAAGTTTCATGGAAAATATACATCACCAAGATAGAATGTTGTGTGTGCACTTTCCAAACTTTATTCTCTTTACCAACAAAAAGAAACACCAACAGAAAGAAAACCCACTGTCAGGTTTTACAAATTAAAAAATATATGAAAAGTGCTTAGTAGGGTACCCAGAATATAGTAAGAGCCCAATAAGTTATCTGTGTCATCTTACGACATTCCCAGGATCCCAAAGCTCCCAAATAACATTCATCAAGTTTGTCCCCAAAGAAATGGGATTTTTTTGTTCCACTAAAGATAACAGAACTATTAATTGAACTTCTCTTTCCTATACTTATATGGGAGGTTAGCAATAGGACTTTATAGAGTCCAGGTAGCTCAGTTGTTGTTCATGGATAAGGTATGAGAGAGCTAATGAAACATAATTTAAGAGGGTCACTAAATCAGAAATATTTCTGACACCTTGCCTATCTCAAATGGCTGAAATTAAACTGCTAAAAGGGGTTTTCCCCCCATTTTTGGATTAGTAAGCAGTTGCCCCTGTTAAGATATAAGTGCTTCTGAAGGACATGTTTTTTTCTTGGCAGTATATAAAATCTTAATAAAAAACAGATCAAGAATGGACGCATGGCTCAAGTGCAAGTGCAAGGTCTTGAATTCAAACCCCAGCCCCGTCAAGAAACACATCATTTAGAGTCACTCATCCATTCTTCATTCACTCATTCAGTCAGTTCATGCAAGTTGTGTGAAAGGCTCTATGTTGGGCACAGTAGATCTTCTAGAGAAGAAGCCTATGATCTTCTATCTGAAGAGACACTCAAGTCTGGACCACTGCTGGGAAAGACAAGACATATGAAGCTACATGGAACATTCTTGACAAGAAGGGGAAAAGTGCAGAACAGATCTAAAGCTGAGGGACGGAAATGACACACTTTGCTTACTTCATTTAGAAACAGGTTCCAGTTTTTTCCTGTTCATTATCTAAAGTACAATCGGTTGATAAATGCCTCTACCTGAACTGTCCATCTGCCACTAGTGGCTCTAATTGTGACGAATTACCTCATGTAGCTCTGGTGTTCCTGCAGAGCAAACATGGAGCAAGCTAAAGGGACTGTGAGAGGTATGTTCTCTTGTATTGTCTTGCTCTTATTACAGTTTTTTATAATTGGAAAAAAGTATTAAAATAACGAACCTCCTCCCTCATGATTTCCTTTTGTTTCACTCAGGGAATATATTGACTAGTAATAGTTGTCTTTCTTTGTGAAAAATAATAGTACACAGGCCATTTTCAACTCACAGTAATTTCTTTTAAAAAAGCAAAACTTCACTCTATTTTAACATTTGCAATTAAGAATATATCTTTCATAGAAATAATAATGAAAATGTTGAGAACACACCCTCCAAACTAACCCACAAAGACATTCTAATAAGTGACTGAAATAATGAAAATTCATAGGGCACCCTGTTGGTATAACATAACTGATGTAATAAAACAAAGAATTAAAAATTTTCTAAAGTTTTAAATGTATATATAGTTATGTGTGTTATATATTTTTTAATTCTTTAGAATTTAAGATACTGAAATTTAGAATTTTTTAGTATTATTTAGAATTTCTTCAGTTTTTTTTTTTTTTTTTTTTCGGCAGCACTGGGGTTTGAACTCAGGGTCTTATGCTTATTAGCCAAGTGTTCTACCACTTGAGCCACATCCCTGCCTCAGAATTTAAAAAATCTTTTAATTTTAAAATATAGATACTTTTGAACACTGAAAGTCAAGAATGACTTTCCTTTTTAATTTTAAATTTGTTCATTTTCTTTTTTTTCTGGATATGAGTTTTGCTCATGTGATTTACTTGTCAGCTACAAGTGATTTTGTGACTCAAAAAACATAAAGAGAAAGATATTTTCAGAGAGATTTGAATAAGGACTGGAAGACTGAATAAGGAGTGAAGAGGATATGTATTGATTTATTAGAAAGAAAATGCTAGAAGTGAAATCAATTGATATCTAAATGGCAGAAAGTCACAGGGAAGAGTGGACAGTATACATGACACTTTGTGCCAACCAGTTTCCTGAGCTTTTTCACTACCCTAGGCTCCCCTGGCCAGGATAAGCTTGCTGCTATCCAACTGAGGAAAGGTGACATGAAGTCCCAGGGGGTGGGAAGAGATGGAGTCTAAGTGTATAAAAACCTTAATAAGTGTCAGATCATCACAAATCAGATATGTACCACTCAGCAAACAGCTATGCAACATCACTGTGATGCATCAAAGTGCACTGAGTAAAAGCCAGATGGCTGATAGGGAAGAAAGGTCCTGGAAGGACGGAAAGTAATTTTATTTTTTGCCATTTAAGGATATTCTGTAAGTAAACACAAAGATGATGGCATCAGACAAAGAAAAATGGAAAATAGAATTATACAGAAAAAAACAGAACAATATTTTTTTTCCATTTTATCTCTTCTCTGCAAGTTAATGGACTGTAGTAAATTTCAAGTTAATGGAGTAGCAAATTTCAAAGCAGCCCATAAATTCAAGAACAAAGCTGATGAAGTGCTGTGCATGATCCATTCTCCTGTAGCACATAATTGATTTGACACTTTCTCCACAGCAAAGGTCCTGCAGACAGCAAACAAGACAGCCCCTGTTTTCCAGAGGTGTGGATCATAGGGATGTAAGTGAAGAACAGCTCGGGAACACTTCCTTCATGGAGACTTTTGTCCTCTCCTTGACATTACTATTTGGTTTTTAAAATATATTTCCAAATGTTAACTCTATTTCCAGTCTAATAACTTAGTGATAGAATTCTCATCTGACACTTTAGATATTACTAGAGTCAAGAATCAAAGCGCACATGGAATTTTGAATTGCATATATATATATAAATTTTAAATTGCATCTATATATAAATTTTGAATTGCATGTGTTTAATGGTTTGCTGTGGGCATTAAGCATTAATGAAAGCAAAAACAAAGCAAACAAGTGATAAACATGACTGAGTTATCCTTTAAAACATAACTGAATTGAGAATAACAGGTGGAAAATAATTCTGTATTTCCAAAGTCTGTAAAGTGTATCTTTGTTTAACGAAGTCAAAGGCTGTCTATAGAAACAACAAATTCATGGATGTTATTGAAAGTACTCCATAGTACATTCTGTCTGGCCTTTAAAAAATAATATAGATCACATTAATAATGATGAAACAACATAAACATGAATATTCCATTTGGGGAGCCTGCTCAAGAAGAATTGTGTTATTTGAGAGAAGCTCCGTGTTATTGTGACATAGCAGGTCAATTAACATGTAGGCAGAGATTACTATTTGTGCCTCCCTTTTCCTTTTAGCAACAGAAGCCCCCAACTGTCCATCACAAGCTATCTAGGTGGTGACTAAACATCTCAGCCCCCCTTACACTTGGTATAACTATGTGACAAAATCTGAGCTAATGGGCTATGAATGGAATTGCTGTGTGAAATGTTCAGGTCATCTTCTTAAGTTGAAGATGTTTTCTTAGCAATTTCTCTCTCCTCCTTCCTTGTGCCTGGGAAATTGTGACATCTGGAGCAACCTCAAAAGCCCTTGCAAAGCCAGCCTACCAACTCTGAGCTCCTCACCTCTGAAATGTGCTGTGAGCAATGACTTTTTTCTTTTTAAGTCATTTTTGTTTGTTTGATACTTGCTTTGTGTGCTTGTTTTTTGTTTTGTTAAAGAATCTTTACAACTATCATAACTATGATTATTAGCCTAATTTAATCTGATCTTGCAAAAGTGAGTGAGACTCAACCAGATCAGAATGACCCCATGCTGTGATGACACTCTCCATTGGACAAGCTGTATGTGTGTTGGAGGCGGGAGCACAGAACACCTGCCTAGGAGTCATTCCTTCCTCTGTCTGCTGATGTTGTCCCCATATTCCTCAAGACAGCTCAAAGAATTAAAGCCCTTTGAAGTCTTTGCAGATGCACTGATTTTTATCTACCAACTTCACTTTGAATATACACCTTTATTATAGCATTTATTACAGCAATTTTCTATTTAAATCCATCTACCTTTCTTACCAGAACCTGAGAGGAAGGTTAGTTCATTTATCTTTATATCCAGGCTGCCTAGGGTAGCATCTGGTTTAATATGACTTCTCAATAAACGATGCTAAATTCATGCTTTGGGACAAGAATATTTTACTAATATTATGTTTTTTCTGTTTTCTTTCAACAACATTCAGGTAATTTTTAAAGTAGGGCAATTTCTCTGTGAACAGAACCTGTGATGGTACTTTACTACTACAGTTTGTGTTACATTATCCACTTTCTCTGTGATTGCTGGTAATTATTAGAGTCCTCCTCCTTCTCCCACTACACACAATTTCATAATGGCTATCCTCACTTACGTGTCTATCACATGTGAGAGTTTTAGTATATATTTTCTCTATTTTTTTAAAAAAATTCTTCATGGTAAGTATCAAGTGTCCATTTTATACATGGAAAAACTGAGGCAAATGATCACATTCTCACAGCTAGGAAATAAATCCACAGATCTCAGGTGACAAAGCCTAATTCTTTTTTTGGTTGTATTGGTGTTTGAACTCAGGGCCTCATGCTTGCTAAGCAGGCACTCTATCACTTAAGTCACTCTACCAGCCCTATTTTTGTGTTGGGTAGTCTTGAGCTAGGGCCTTGAGACCTATTTGCTCAGACTGGCTTCGAACCACAACCCTCTTGATCTCTGCCTCTTGAGTAGCTATGGTTACGGGCATGAGCCACCAGTGCCCAGCACAAATTCTTACTTTATCCCCTTGTGTCCATCAGAGAAAGGAAATGTTCTTTCTGGTCATTCATCATCAATCTCACTTTTTTCTTCAACAAACACACATGCCAATTCTTATTATTTAACAACTGGCAGGATGTACAATACTGAGAAGCTGACAAATGATACATTGGGATTGACCATCTTTGCTTTATTATATCACCAATTGTGACACCTCATAGGTGTCTGAGGCATCTTTTCCTCAGAATCTCTACTTCCTTCCAGTTTGGCCTGATTGTTCTGATATGGACCTGATGTCTGTCTTTTACAATCCTCTTTCTACCTTTTGTTTTTGTTTTTTTATCTATGTATTTCACACACAACCCCTTTTCAACTGGACCTACCTAAAAAGTATTCTTTTAGACTTGACACTTCTGTCCTCATTAAAAAGTTCAGATCTCTCCTGGTGAGTTGCCCTCTATGATTGAACACTAAATAATGTAGCCATCTTTCACATTTAACCTCTTTGTGGGATAGGAAAAGGAAATCATTGTGCAGATAAAATGGGGGTTAAGCAGGATCTGAGGAAATGGAAGGAGGTTGCATAATTTTACTAACTACACAGTAGTTTCCAAAAAATACTTACTGAACACTTATTATTTGTGTTAAACTGTGAAAGTTCTAGAAAAGAAGATTATTTACCAATCAGAAGAGGTGTCTCTCCTTTATCATTTTTGGTGTTGGGCCACACTCCCTTTTCTAGTAAAGTCCTTACATTTTCCACCAGACCAGCTTTAACTGCCAAAGTCAAGGGTGTTTCTCCATCATAGGTCTTGAATTCCCAGAGTGTCTTATAGGATGCTGAGATGTGAAAGCATTGTTGAAAAGTTAAAAATATTTACTTATTGAATATTGCATAGATCAAAATGACCCAATATTATATACCCCAGATTGAACAAAGACAATTGACAATGAAGGGAAGATTAAAAGGAAATATGATAAAAAATTTAGCAAATGACAGTTTTTTACCAAATGAAATGTGTGAATGAGAATGCTTTTGAATGAAAGTATCGTTTCAGAATGTGTTACAAAAGAAATAGTATCATCAATGTCAACTATAGCTAAGTCAAGGGATAGTACAAGATAAAACTTTTAAAAATGACTTCCAGAGGAAAAAAAGTTTTATATTTTGATCATTTAATTCATAATATGCACAAAATCCTACCACTCATATGTAGGTGATAACAACTTTCCACTAGCCTGTGTCACATTCTCATATAAGAGAATGCAAATGGTGAATTCCAAATGTCATAAAATGTACTAATTTTGTACTCGAGTTCAAAATATGGTACTTCCTTTCCCAAATTTCAAATAATCTTTAATTCTGCTTTTTATTTTTTGCTTATTATGTTCACTGGAAAAAAATAATCACTTTTGCATTTGTTTTCTAGCTTTTTCAAAAAAGATGTTATGTTCTCTTACCATCCAGAACAATCTCAAGTATTTGTTGAATGGGTTGAACAACAGCTTCATGCAATGGAAACCATCCTGTTTCATCAGCTTCATCCAGAGCGTATTTATATTTCACACACTCTTGGAGCTCAAGAATGTGACCTAAAATACACATGTGGATTGATACACATCTCCTTTTTTTGCAAGGTGGGATCTCCCAATCCATCCCACTGAAGACAATATGCTTACTTACCTTGTTTTATGGCTTCTACAAGCTTTCTGTTTTGATCACTTAGTGGTACAAATCTAGTAGAGAAAGAAAAACAAGCCATATTTATAGCATATATTACGGATGTTTTATTGTAAGAATTCCAAAATTTTAATTTATATTTAGAGTTTTGTATATAGCTATTATAATTGAGACCTACAGGAAATGAACTGATTTTATCTACTTGAAAAATGCCTAGGAATCAGAGAGAGAGAGTTTTTTTCATACTGGACCTTACGAACACTAGTAAAAATGGAAAAATGCAAGAGTATGGCATTATCCCTTGAAATTTCTCTAAGCAATGAAAAGGGAGTAAACAATTAGAGTCAGATTCAGAGGGCTAGGCTCAGATTCCAATCTGTGATCCTGGAAAGCCTGTTAGTCTCTCTTGGTGTGGGTTTCTTCATCTGTGTAGAATGGTGTATAATGGTGGTATTAAATAGGAAGATCTCTTAGGCTTCTTCAAACTTTAAAAATTCTATACACAAAAGGTGTTTGTTGTTTAGGACTTAGTAACTGCCAATAGACACTTGGGAGCCTATGGTCCACACTGTATGTAAGAATCTTTAATCAACTGATCCACAAGTGGAAACAAGCAGAGCATTTACTGAACAAACTCCCAATCAGTGGCCCAGCAGGTCACGATTTAAGCTCTCATGGCAATTCTCTGGAGTGTATGCTCACTAAATGGAAACAAGGAATTTCATAACAAACTTATTTAATTGTATTAAGCAGAAACATCTGCTAGCATTCTAGGGTTGCAGTGCCTTGTGGGGACCTCTCAAGTTCTACAATCTGTTGGGTAAAAAGGGAAATTTTAAAAGACCAGAAATTTAATATGTCTACTTTTAAAAGCTCAAAAGCACTAATTTTAATAACTTTATAGCACAAAATCTATTCAAAAACACTACTAAATTCCAGTATTCAATATTCTAAATACTATAAAAATGAAGTGTATATCTGTCAGAAGTATGTGTGTTGTTGAAGAGAGAACTTTATTTTTGTAGTTTCGTACTTTATAACTCTTGTAAAAATCAAGTCATATAATATATCAATTTCATGTATACTTTAATCTGTTCACTCATAAAGGTTAGCTGAGATGGTAGCAAAGTGTGTTATAGAGTACACATCTGTGTGTCTATATGTTGGTTGTATAAATAATACTTGAAAAATTTTTGAAACTACTCATTTTCTTTTGTGACTCCATATTAATTTAGAAAATAAGCAATTCTATCCAAACAAATTCAACTGGGAATTTCGCATGTAAGTAATTTCCATTTTCCATATGAGATAGGGATTTGTGAAAGAAAAGATTATTAAAATCTGTGTACAGAGGCCTTTGTAAAGCTGTTGGATTCCTTTCCAGAAAAAAGGGTGGGGGTTAGTATTTTCCTAGAGGAGGAGTTGGAAAATGGCATTAATTTTATCTTACAACAAATAAATGCCTTAAGGAAATTTTATTGAGCACATTTGATTAGATTTCTACCTCTCAGGATGAAGTACAGCCTGGTTAGCTTCAATAGATTCTTGAATACTGAGTTGAATATCATAGCTTGTAAGATGGTCTTCATCTGGGTCATTATTAGTATCCATACCTGTGCATAATTTTGAAAGAAGGAATTTCTTATTATCAACAAATGCTACAAAACTGCAGGTAGAAATAACATAACAAATGGAAAACTAAAATAAATTTACCTTTCCCTACTTAACAAATACAAATGCAGTTAACCTTTTAAATCATAAATATATTTTATTTCATTAACTTAAAATGTCCTAACTAGCTGGGCACTGGTGGGTCATGCCTGTAATCCTTGCTACTCAGGAGGCAGAGATCAGGAGGATTGCTGTTCAAAGGCAACCTAGGCAAATAGTTCGTGAGACCCTATCTCAATAAAACCCATCACAAGAAAGGACTGGCAGAGTGGCTCAAGGTGTAGGCCCTGAGTTCAAACCCCAGTTTGAACTGAGGTTTGAGCATACAAAAAATGTCCTAACTATTGAACTCTTCAATTGTCTGCTTTTTGAGGGTCTGCATTTTTCAACTTTTGACTTTCTTTTTAGTAATGGCTACAGTTGGGCCTATAAGAACTATCTTTTTCAAAATGTCTGATACATACTAATTTGTAGTAGCCCATCAATTTTATATATATATATATATAAAATATATATATTTATATATATATATATATATATATTTTATATATATATATATATATATATATAAAATGGCCCATTAGAAGCTTAAAACTCAACCCAAAGAGGAGTGGGTCAGTGAAATAGCAGACAAGAGTGATCCTTCTATGTTCTTTACAAACAAGCAGTGGTCTGTTATAAAGTCTGACCAGTCTAAGAGCATCATTTGAACAACTAAGATAAAAGCCATCTCAACTAAAGCTGTAGATCAGAGAACCGTCCTCCTGTAGACTATGTTGTAGAGTTCTATTCATTGTAAGCGATGTTCTTGACTGCCCTGCCTCCCCTGATAATACATATAAAAATTATAATTATTTCTCATTGGCTTATTTCTTCCAAATATTAAATTAGAAGTAAATCTCTCTTTACTACTAGATCAATTGCCTAATTTTATTTAGAGAGAAAGTTTAGTAAGTATAGAGATCAAAATGGTGAGTCTGTCTCTGAGGACTACAAGGAGGTGGGAAAGGAGAAGAGAATGATAGAGAGTAAATAATATTGAAATACATCATACATCACATCTGTATATGAAGACAGTTAAGGAAATGCCCTTACAAGTAAATTTACTTGTTAAATAATAGGGGAGTAGGGCAATCGAGAAAGAGTAAGTAATAGAAGAGTTAATCTGATTAAAGTCTGATATTTACATGTGTAATATATACCAAAGAGAAACCCCCTAGAACAGTCAATACACATTTTAAAAAATGAAGGGCAGGAAGGTAAAACAGGTTCTGTCTCCAGGTAGGTACCACTGAAAGGGGTGAGGTAAATGGAGAAGGTGAAGGAGAACAAATACGGTGGGTGTACTTTGCATACTTGTGTGAAAATAGAAAAATGAAATCTGTTGAAATTCTTCTAGAAAGGTGGGGGGAGTAAGACATGGGGAAAAATAGGTTTGCAAAGGTAAGGAGAATGAAAAAAATAGCCCAAAATATAATCTTATCCTTAGCACTTAAAAAATAGCTCTACAGCTGGGTTGAGTAATCAATATGAAATTATCTTTAATTGGTAGTACTTTTCAAACCAAAATAGATTCTCCATGTGAAATTTTACATGGTAGTTTGTCTTTTCAAGGGGAGACACCAAAGCAGTGCTCTGCACTCAATTTCCAAAAATGTAGTTGACATATGCTTGGAATTTTTTATTCTTCAAGATTAGATGATCTTGAACTCTACAGCTCTAAATGTCTTGACCTCTGGACAGATCAAACACAAACTAAATAGCATCATTAGGATTTTATTGTCCACTGTTCTGTAGCAGTGGCCTCAAGATTGCTGAGAACAGAAGGGAAGTAACAGTGCACCTAAGACGGGAGCAGTTCTGCACTAAGCATGCTCCCCACTCTGTAGCTCAGAGTTCTCAAAGGCCCGCACGTGCTTTTGGAATTCTTTTCACTAAAATAGATCCAAATGGTGCTTACTTTTCATTTCTTGTTAATTGGTTCATTGACTGTCTTTTGTCCCTAGAATGTAACTACATAAGAACAGGGAATTTGTCTGTAAACTCAGTGTTTAGAAGATCATCTCATGATTCATGGCCTCTATGTGTACATTGAATGAATGAACTTGGAGTTAATGAATGAGCTCTGAAACATAATCCAAACTCTGCTTTGTCCTTGAACTGAGCATTTCTCCCAGGCAGAGAGGCTTTCTTCCAACTAAACAAATTGATTGTTCACTCTGTACAGGCTTTATTTTTCTCATGTCTGTGTTTTTACATCTGCTTTCTCTTTCTCCAGAGTCTTCCAGCTGTTCCTTACCTATGGTCAACACTGTCTCAAGCCTGGCTCAAGATCATCCTCCTATGGAAACCCTTGCTGGAATTTCCTACTTCCTCTCTAGCATCCTTTTATCTGCACATATCTCCTCTTTTGTAATATTTTTTCCAAATTTGGATTTATACTCATTCTGTACTGCTTTCAAGGTCTTCTGCATATTTGTCTTTTGTGTTCCCACTTGGACTATTGATTTTCTAAGAGGAAATAAATATTACTGCCTTTTTTGTTGTGCTGGGGATTGAACCTGGGGCTGCACCACTGTGCCATGCTCTGCCTGATTTTCTTTTTGCTTTATAGCTTTCCTCCTCTATTTCTACTTCTAACTTACTTGCACTTTTTAGAAGCAACTGCAGTGGCTGCTGGAAAAAAAAAAGTTGTTGACTCAGTAGCAAACAAGAACTGAGTCGTTCAGATAACACAATTAGATAACAAAGTTAAATCTATGACATTGCCTGTTGCCTTTCCTGCTGATATACTGTGGCGATGGGGGGAATGCATAACTCTGGGATTAGTAATGGGATACAGAGCCTTTTAGCTATTTAAATCCCCAGCTTAAGTCTAACCCTGATTGAAATCTGGGCTTCCAGTAGCACATGAAGCACCTCAGGCTTCTTAGAGAACTAAGTTGGTCTGTGGAAGTTTTAAAATATTTTTGAACTATCATTGAGAAATAAGTTATCAAGATTTTTGGCTGTTTGTCCATAATGACAGCAGGGTAAAAAGTGATGGGGAAAACCTCTGTGGAACAACTCCAAACTAAAACAGGCTATCTCCATCCAGTCTTGAATAAAGTGAAGTTCTATGTGCAGGTTCACGAAGGTGTCCAAGGAGACATCAACAAGATGCAATGAGAAAGGAAGAAGTGCTGGATTTATCTATACTGAAGCTTAAAATGACTAGGACTCAATTCTAATTGAAGGCTGGCAGGCCAATAGGAAATTGTTTAAATAAAATACCAGTTAGGAGTATAAGCAAAGGCCAGATAATATTTTGACATCCATTCAGACTTATTCACAGGTTCTTACTTCTCAGTCTAGAGAAATTAACTGACACCTTCTTAATAATAATTTGCTGTATAGTCTTGCTGTGGAGAGTCCAGTAGTGAGATAATTTGTTCTCCACAAGTAGCTGATTTACAAAATAATTGGGTCAACCTTATTGTATGATTAGACTTTTCACTTACAGCACTGGTTAGCCTTGCTAAGGATTCTCTCTCTCCTGAGAGACACATGCCTACTCAAACTTTGCATATAATTTTAGAGGACTCATGGATCATCTGAAGCTCTTTTCTTTACCCTGCTTTTTTAAAAAGCAGTTAATTTCAGGATTTCTAAATGTTAATTTATAAATGTATTATTCAGATATTAATAATTATTAATTTATTTTATAGCAGACTGAATTAAATCTCAAATTTAGATATCAGGAAAAATTTGGTGACCATGTAAATTTTAGAATGCTTGGTAAGAATAAAAATGATAATTCTAAGAAACAAAATTAATGGAGAAAGCTGGCTTTGTTTCAAGCACCTTGCCAAGAACATTGCATACATTGGCATATTTAAATCCTCTAATTCTATGTTGTAGGCATTTGCTTCATTGTGAATAGATAGAAATTTGGACACGAGAAGGTTCAAAGACCCACCCAATGTGACAGAGCTGATGGACAAAGGCTGAACAGATAGGGAGGACCTTCACTCTGACAGTCTTTCAGAAGCTGCAGCCTGGAGCTTTTAAAAGAAAGCACTTTGATCTTGCTCTTAACAGCCAGCTCTTGATAACAATACCTTCCAAAAATAAAAAAATAGCTCCCAAAGACACATAAATCTTTCTCTTTGGCTCTGTCCAATAAGGTTTTGTGTTGCTTAGGGTGGTCTGAGGTGTCCTAAGCTTACCTGCCTTCTGTACTTTTTGTTTTGGAGTCTAAACATCACTGTTCACAAAACAGGATCAACATACCGGTTAGTGGCTGATTGAAGTGGTCAGGAGGTTGGGACGATGTTGCAAGATATGATGTAGGAATGAACACAAGTACATGACCCATCCAGCAAGAGATTCTCTAAATTACCTCCAAAACCCACATCTATGCTACACTGCCTTACTGTTAAGATGGTTGATAAGTTTGTTACATGCTTCAGAATGTCTTTGAAACATGGTAGCTCCCACAGCATGAAATCTCAGTTCCCCTTTGCCCTGAGCAAGGACAATTATTTATACCTGTGTTCTTTCTGAATGGTTTAGTTGGCTTACTCCCAATTACATCCAACTCTGTTGCCTCACCTATCCTAACTCTGTCTTTGGGGCATGACAAAATTGGAGCCATCTCCACGAGTTCAGAACAGAGTTGGCCTTGAAAGTAGACTGAGTGGACAGTTGCTTCCATGGTGCAAGGAAGGGCTCTGTGTCCATACAGATACAACTCCCCTCAGCACCTGTCATGTCAGTGCCATTTTGCCACATCAGTGAAAGATCCTGTCCTTCAGGGAATACTGTTCCATTTCCCTGTGGCCCTTTTAAAATGCCAGTGGCATCATACTGGCCCCCAGTGATTTTTTGGAAGAGTTCCTGGGAGTGACATGGCCTGGGAAGATGGCATGCCGTCTAGTGAGAGGAGGAAACAGGGGCTAAGAAAAGGCAGTGCAGTAAAATTTGGTTTTCTTTACAATTTTACACAAGTAAAGCCCAAATTTAAACTCTAGGTTTCTGAAGAAAGTGCAAGTTTGTGCTGTGTGAATGCAGGGTCATGATTCACAGAGGAGTTTTTCTTTTACCTTGAAAATGCCAGGAGTCTTGATTGGTGAAGTCATCTACTGGAAGTCCCAGGGAGAATCATTGGGATTTATACTACTAGGAAAGCAAGAGTTGAATAAGGACATTTTCATTTTTTTTGTATTGTTGAGAAAACACAAGTATTATATATTGAATAATATTTGTTCTCCTTTTCCTGCACTTTGACAATTTATATGTATAATTTTAAAGCTAGAGTGAAATTATAAATAAATTTTGTTATGACTTTGGTGACACTTCTCTATTTTTCTAAAGTACTATAACACTAAGTGGAAGATCAAATAAATGGTGAACCTCTAACAGAGAGTTGGTTCCACCCCAGTCACAGGTAATTTGCTATGCCAATTCTCTCTTTGTGCCATTGACTTTCTCCTACTGAGAAAGTCTGTGAGTGATGGGGAGAACTACATTGGTTCAAACAGCATCTTTATTTGCTTTTTTCTATTTTTTTCTTTGTGATTGTTTTTGAAACAGTCTCATTATGTCTCACAAACTGGTCTCAGATCCTCCTTTAGGGTTCTGAATACTGAGATTATAGACATGCTGTACTATACTGTCTCAAATGAACATCACCTTTCTTTCTTTTTCTTTTTTCTTCTTTTATTATTTCTCACTACTGGCAATTGAATCCCAGGTTTCTACCACTTGAGCCACACCCCACCCCCAGCAACACTTTTTTTTAAAGTATTGGAGTTTGAACTTATAGTCTTGCACTTGCTAGACAGGTGCTAACACTAGAGTCACACTTCTGTTCCTCTTTTGCTTTAGTTATTTTTTGGATAGAGTCTTGTGTTTTTGCCCAGGCTGAACTTGGGACATGATCCTCTAATCTATGATATTTGATGAAGCTGGGATTGCAAGCTTGCCTTACAACGTCTGGCTTGTCTGTTGAGGTGGAGTCTTCCTAACATTTTTTAACCAGGTTGGTCTGGATCTGAGATCCTCTTGATCTCTGCCTGCCAAGTAGCTTTGATTACCAGAATGAGCTGCCATGCCCAGCCTCTGAACAGTACATTTCTTAATAGTACAAGATGTTTTGCTGGTTCATTTAACACACACACAGCACACATTTTTAATCCAGAAAATAAATGCAGTTTTGTGTTGCTTCAAGATTTACAGCTTGACATTTCAGAAAAAAGTTATAAAATGACAAACTGGGCCAACTGGTCTTTAGACACTCTGATACCTGGCACATGAGGCAAAGTCAATAAGTACTGGGGGATGAATAAATAATTGAATGATTAAATACACCCTACTCTTGAAATGAGCCAAAAAAAAATTAACTTTGTGTTTTCTCTTTACGTCACACATATGTGTTTGCCAAACTCACTTCTAATTTTGAGATCACACTGATTAATGTTTAATTTCTGTGTAAACACACTGATGCTATATCCTGTTATACTAGTTTTGCTTATCTTTAGTTTCATATTACAAAAGTACAAGTTTTTACTCTGTACTACTGATCTCCAAGTCAAGTTCAATTGTGACAGAAATGTAAGAAGATGTATATTAGCTTTAGAAAGTGACAAAAAAAAAGTGTAGGAAGGAGCTTTATGCTTGTGAACACATGGATTTTTGGGGAATATGATGTTCTAGAAAAAGCTAGGGCAAGAATGACACATCAAAAGCCAACTTATGAATAAATGTGCCCCTATCACAAGCTAATGTGGCAATGTTTTACTGAGCCCCGTCATTTGTCTGTAACTTTACATCCAGGGATCCATTTTATCAAAATGACCAGAGATGAAGGAAAGATTTATATGTGAGAATGTTTATCAGCTATATTTAAACTGCCAAAACCTTAGAAACAATCTAAATGTCCAATTATAGGGAATGCATGTAAGGTATTACTACATATGCAATCAATGGAACACAACACAGTTATTAAAATTAATGCACACGAAGATTATGTGAAATGTAATTACATTTTACATACCCTGGGTAAAATGTTGCATTTAAGAATGATGACCATTTAGCCAGCTATTACCAAGCGACTTTTAAGAAATCAAGATTACCTTTTTTCCCGACTTTACTGAGGTAAAGGGAACTAAGATTGACAGTTTTAAAAAATGTATATATTTAAGGTGTACAGCTCAATGATTTGATATATGTACATTGTGAAATATTCACCTCAATCAAGTAATTAAAATATCTGTTGGATGAGTAGATAAAGAAATATACTACGTATTTATAATAGAATTATTTTTTGGTCATAAAGAGTAAGAAATCTTGTCGTTTGTGGCAAGGATAAACCTGGAGACATGTTAAATAAAATAAATCAGACGCAGGATGGGGAATACTGCATGATCTTACATATATATGGAATTTAAAATGTTGAACTCATAGAAACAGAGTTGAATGATAATTGCCATGGGCTGAGTGTGGTGTGGGAGTACAGGGAGATGATGATCAAGGCATACAAAGTTGCAGTTATGCAGGATGACTGAATTCTGGTGACTTACTGTACAATGTGACTATAGTTAACAATACTGCATTGTATACTTGGAATTTGCTAGAGGGTGGATCTCAACTACAAGTTTTTATAAAAGAGGGTGGGAACTAAGATTGACTGTGCAATCAAAGTTCACAAATTCTGTCAGGAAAACTGTCTACATCTATGTCTCAGGCCTCAACAGGCCACGAGCCTTAGCAACCTTGATAAGAAAGGAAATTCCCCACATTTATAGTAAAGCAGATGAAACCTGGTGGGGAGAGTTTCTTGTTTCAAGAAGGAGCTGAAATCCCAAATATCTATCCATTACCTAAGTCATCCAAGAACACACATCTTCACCTAACATATTGTATCTGTCTGCATGAGCCCAAAAGGTTTTCACTAATTAGTAAGTGGCAGCTCCCACGGAAAGTAATGCCAGTTACAGGTAATAAAAAAGCTACTTTTGGTTTGCACAACCAAGTTGTAGGGTGAGCAAAAAAGCTTTTGACTATATTAATTGTTAGACCTCAACTTGACATCACTTATGCTATCTTAAACTCTGCTTGACCCTAGAGTTGGTTGGCTCCAATAGAGATGTGCCCCTGCCCCACTCCCCCAGGAAACATCTTGTTTCCCAACACCTGTCCAGAACACAAGACCCAGTTCCTTGATTACCCCTAACAATAGACAATGGACAAGCCACAATGAAAAAATTCCCCCACCCTTTACCAGGTCCTTCTTCTCTGTAAAATCCCCTGTCTATAAGTGGCAGTAGGCTCTAGCATCTGCTGGAGACCTCCTCTGCAAGTTTATTCTTTTGAGTAAACCTGTGCTGGCATTGAGTCATCTCTTTGTCTATCTCTCTGTGCTTTACAGTCTAACATTAATTTGTTACAATAACAATAAAAATTAAGAGTTCATATTCATATATGTATATATGCATGTACAGACACATATCTTCTCTCTAAAAAATATTTCTTTTGGGGCCATGGTGTATTTCTTTGGACACAACAAGAATTCTTGTACTAAAGTCAAATCATCTTCCATTTGACACTTGCTCAAACAATAATGAGCCATTGTGTTTATTAATATCTTGCTTGAAATCATATTCAGGCCATGATTTCATTCTGCTGGAGACAGGTGAGCACAGTGGTTGGGCTTTCATTCAAACCCTGCCTGCCTGCACTAGTTGTCTGGCTAGCTGTGTCTGAAGCAGGTCGTAAGCAGTTGATGAACATTATATGTTTTGACCTGGTGCTGAACTCTTCTGGAATGGGGAAGAAGGATTCTAGTATGTTTAGGCAGTTTAAACAGGCCCCTGACATCCCCATTATTTTATTCTCTGTCCTTTTCTTCAGAATCACCAGACTTGAGAGTTAAAAATGATCAGGTAGCCCCATGGTAAATCCCACTTACAACATGCTCAATATGTATCTGGCCAGCCTCAGCTCGAACTCCAAGTGTCAAGGGGCTTAGCTTTCCCCCACACAGCCCCTCCCTTTCAGCCAGATTTAAAAATTAAAACATTGAAGTTGAATCCATATTTTGAAACCATTATTTGATGATCCTAGCTCTTTATTTCTCAGAACCACAATGAGAAAGTGTTGTTTCTCCGAGACACAAGATCCCTTTTAAATATTTCCCAGGAACGCTGTTAGGTCTCCATTGAGCCTACTCCTTCCAAGGCTGGACAATAACTTGCCTGTGACATGGTTTAACCTCCTTCACCATCTTGCATACTTTCCTGTAAACATATTCATTTACCCATCTCTTTCTAAAAGTGGTTCTGAATTGCAGGCTCTGAAAGCAACACAACAGGTGCTGTCTAACCAACACAGCATTCAATGGGTATGACCACCTCTCTTTTCTCAGACACTGTATATCTGTTAACTCAGTCTAGGGTCAAATGAATTTGAAGACTATCATGTTTCATATTTGCTTTGGACCTTTGTTGACCTCAATTCTACAAGTTGTATTTTTTCACACATTGTTAGCTGTGCAATTCTGTGCAGGACTGTTATATATTCTTACTACATTTAATCTTTTTTGTATTTGACATTTATTCCTATCTGCCAAGGCCAAATGTATTTTCTACCCCTGCAAATATTGTTCAATTTGAAGATGTAATAAGCATGTTGTATATACCCTTAAGTCACATTGACAATGATGAATGTTGAAAAGAAATTAGTGCAAGACAGAGGCCTCCAGATTAACAGTGATGTTATTTAGCACCCTTTGAGAAAAGCTGTTTATCCAATTACAAATCCTTTAAAAACACCACCATCTAGTATTTATGTCTCCTTGATAGCCAGACCAACATCAAGAGGTATTGTCAAGAGATACCTTGTTGTAATGTAGCTACACGGTAGCTACAACATTCCCCAATAGTCCTAGTCAAAAAAACAGAGGAAAATTGACCCACAAATTTATAGTGATTATTTTTTTCTAAAGATCTTCTGACCATTCTATTTATTCATTAATGTCTGCTATGTTTTAGGCACAGTGTTAGACACAACCATATAGGATCTGTGCCCTCAAAGAGATTGCTGCCTTTAATAAGGTATTCTAGAAATGCCCCCCACTGCAAATACCATTTCAATGTTTAACACAGAGTTAAGCACATGTCAGATCCTCAATAAATGTTTGTTATTCTGAATTTAATAATTATAGCTAGCATTAACTGTGGCATTGTATACTATGCATTGGATGGATTATAGAATTTTATTTATTTATGGCTGTACTGGGGATTGAACTCACAGTGTCATGTTTGTTAGGCAAGCACTCTACTTACTACATGAGCTATATGCCCAGTCCTTTTGCTTTTAGTTTATTTTTCAGATAAGATCTTGTGCTTTTGCCATGGCCAGTCTTGGACTGTAATTGTCCTATCTCTGCCTGTTAAGTAGATGGGATTACAGGTGCATGCCATGAAGCCTGGTCTGTCATTTAATCCTTACAACAGAGGTTCCTACCCTTTCAGATGAGGAAACTGAAACAGAGTGGGTGGGTAATGTGTTCATTCTTGCACATCTAGTGGATATTGAAGATGAAGGATATAAACCCAGCTATCTGATATTGGAGGCCACTACACTGTAGCTGATCACTCAGCTACTACAATGGAATTAATGAAGAGTGACTCTCATTTTGTACCCTAAAAATTAAGAAGCCTCAGAAAAAAGTTTTCCAAATTCATTTAACCAATTTAAACCAACTTGTCTAACTCCAATGGAAATATAAAAATTTTAGGCAAATTTTCTTTTGAAATAAGGTATACTTACAAAAACAATTAAACTAAAATTATGAAATTTTATTGCAATAGTTTAATACTGTGAGTGTGAAGCAGTGATAAGACTTCCCCTATCCATATCACTGCTATTTCATGGATATCACATCATTTTAAACGTAGAAGGTTCCTGAGAGATTGTTCAATTAAGAGCCAGATTAATGATGGTATGAGATAAATTTTAAGAACTTCCCAGCCTCAAGATTCTTTATTACAGTTTGTATGAGCAAAGTTATAATACCTTTGAGTTTGATTTTTTTCATTTTAATATAAAGGGGTTTTTTTTCAACCTGAACATAAAACATTTATTCTTTGTAACAGGTGATTTAAAAAATTTTGATAAAGATTTGTTTTAATTATTCACAAAAATCATTTAATTATTTTCTCAGAAACCAGGGAATTCTGTAGTATGTATATGACACTTCCTATTAGCATATTCATTTTTTTTTTGGTAGTACTAATGTTTGAACTCAGGGCCTCTTACTTGTTAGACAGGTGCTTTACCACTTAAGTCACACGTCCAACCCTTTCTGCATTTGTTATTTTTGAGATAGGGTCTCATGTTATGCCTGGGCTGACCTAGACTGCCTTCCTCCTATTTATGGTTCCTATGTAACTGGGATAACAAGTGCACACCACCACATCCAGCTTTTATTGATTGAGATAGGGTCTCCAGAACTTCTTGCCTGGGCTGGCCTAGAATTTCTGTCCTACTAATCTCTGCCTCCTAATTAGCTAGGATTATAGGCTTGAGCCACAACCCAGCCAGCATATTCACTCTCGAGCTGTTTATCACTACACCATTTTTGCTGTACTCAATAATAATACTCCATTGAGTTGATATTTTATAAATAAACGAGACAACCCTGGCTTTATTCTGTAATTAAAAAGGGCCCAGACAGGCAAGCCCACAAGTGAACAATCAGAAAGAAGTAATGCGTAGCTACCCACCATGTTTCTATCTGTTAGAAATATTTCCAATACTGAACTACTTACTCCACAAGCTAGTTGGGCATGTACAAATCAAATATTTCATAATCTCACCTTTTGGAATGATCATCTTGTCATTCTTATCCAGGGACTTGCCTTCCTAAACCAGAGGAAGTGCCCTGGAGCCAATGTGTCCCTCTGTGTATCTAAAATTAAGTATCCAGTTGGTGGTTAAATTAAGATCTGACCTTGTACAAGTGAAACACAAGCGGTCCCTGGCACATGGTAAGGTATCACCCATGACTTCTCTAACCTCTCATCAAAAGAAACACAAGCCCACAGAGGAATAATAAGATTATCCGTGTCCTGATTGGTTCAAAGAGCTCTCAGGAGAACAGATGACCTATCAACTCAGCTACAGGGAAGGTTCCTGCTGAAGGATCTAAAGGAAACCACTTAAATAAAATTAAAGAATATTTTAAAATCTCTTATCCAAGAGATAAATCTGTGAGTTTGTATGTTCCCAGGCCCTAATTCTCTTTGGGCAAATTGTAACTTACACAGTTTCTCTTCATCTTTTAGACTCTGGGCAAATCTCATTAAATACAATCTTCTTATACTAACCTCCTGTCTTTCCTTTGAATTACATTTGATAACGGCCAATCTAACACACAGATGGAAACAGAGCACTCGTCTATTCTTGAAATCTGTCTGGTCAAGAATTTTTAAGTCAACTTATCAAACATATATGGTCTAAAAAAGTAAGTAGCAGATGTAAAGCAAGCAAAAAATATCAGAATTTTAGTTTAGGGAGATTGTTGGTTTTTAAGAAAGAAAAAACCAAAAAAGTCTACTGTCCTACTGTTTTTCTAATGAAACCCGTATGGCTTAAGTTTATTTTGACACGGCTATCCTTGGGTTAACTCAGGCTGGGCTCTGTCAACATTCACAAAATCATCTGGTTTCTGTCCTTCCCCACCCTACTAACACAGCTCTCCTTGAGGACCTCTGGCCTGCTAGTTTCTGGGGTTGACAGACACTTTATTTCTCATTTCAGTTCTTTATTGAGTTTGCTGACATTGACTCTTCTCTTCTTCCTAAATGTCTCTATGCTTGGCTTCTGGGAACAAAAGTGTGATATACTTTTGTTTTTCTTCTCACCTCTCTTTGTATTTTGGTGTTATTAAGTAAATATGTAGACTGTAGTGAATTTCCATGTTGATTTTAAAATGTAGAAAAGCATAAATATGAACCGAGAGGTCCTGCCTGTTCTTTAACTATAATAAAAGAGGGTACACTTCAGTCATCTGTGGTGCAACTCTCAGAAATGTTTCATTTTATGCTAATATCAACCATGTATCTAAAAAGTCAAGGGTGGAAGTTAAAACATTGTGCACATTTTCTAATTATTAATTTGGAATTTTTCAATAAAAATTGTTATAAAAGCCACCAGAGTTTTTGAATGCTTTAAATTTTATGCAACACTTTTTTTACTTACCATGTTAAAAATTCAAATAAAACTTTAGACTATAATGTGACTTTATAGGAAAATGTATATCAACACTTTTAAATTTGGTTTGGTATATATCAGTAACATTTCTGCTCTTAACTTATGCCTGCTTTATCCACTTATATACTAGTTATTGTAGACCTTCTGATACCATATATTTAAAATAATGTGTAAAATGACAAAGGACAAAAATGCTAGACTGTGTAGTAAAATGAATGAAAAAGTTATCAAAAACATACTAGAACTATGAATAAGTGTTGCTTTATCACCATTTATGTCACTTCTGATTCATTATTTAAAATTTTGAGATTCAATTTACTCATCTGCAATATGGGAATAATAATAAATGACCATGGCACCACAATTTTATGAGGTCTAGTCCTCAAGTAATGAGTCATTGATACATACTGAATAAAACATCCTTTGGGAAACTCAAAGATTTGAAAGAGTGATCTATTCATAATGTTAACAATTACCTCCATATTTGTCTGTTTGGGACACTGGCTTTTCCTATGGATTTTCTCATGTAGAAATAAAACAAAAGTGGGATTTTTGAGTAATATGCTCTCGTTTGTCTGGTGAGGGTGAGCTTCAGGGTGAGCTTCAGGGAGACATGTGACTGAACAGGGAATAACAAATACTACTGTTCTGATGAAGGTACATGCAACAAGACTGACATCCAAATAACATCCCTCCTTTCTATATTTAGGAAGACATGCTTGTCCTGTTTCAAGATGATAATTATAGCAAGTGATATGAAAAGTCTGAGGTTAGAATGGTTGGAGCACAGTGCTAAGAGGGACTGTCCTTGGACTCACCCATTTCTATTTTGGGAATAGGGGCTGGGTGGCACCATACGTGAATTCCCAGGGACCAGTGTGGCATCATGGTGTTCATGTTTAAGGCACCTGCCAGCACTGCACTCTTTTGCTCACAAGTTCTCCATGTTCTTAAAAACAAGTTCAGGGCCTGCAGGCTTTTGTCCATGAATTAAAAATATGGCTCTTGCTATGATTAGTCAGATGGTCACATCCACCTTCCCATAGAGCCATTTATCACCTTGGTACTGATACAGCCCATTTTTTAAATAAAGGCTTATCAGAACCACATGCTTAGCATTACCTTGGTATTCAGACACATTGGAGAGTCCTATCTGCGTTATCCTATTTGTTTAGTACACAATACTATAGATGTCTTACTTGAATCCATTTCTACATTGATATACTGCAGATTTTCTCCTTCTTGTGCCTCCCTTTTTGCACTTGTTAATTATTTTGACTTTGGTGGTCAGTGATTAAAAAATGCACATTTGATTTCTGTTGTGCATAAAACCAAATAAAAATGTTTAGAAAAGAAATTATTTATTTCTAGCATGTTTTCCAGTATTTTGATAATTGCATGTTTGGGCTTTTTTTGTACACGGGTTTCTCAGATTGAAAAGCAAGCAACTGAAACTGTAAGTCAAGTGTATTAGCACCAAACTCCTCCAGGACTGCTGATGTCATAGGTTCTTGGGAGGTCCACGTTGTTGACATCATTCTGGTCATTTAGTGGCCATTCAGCAGCACACTGACAAATGACAAGAGAGTAATGTGGTGTAGGGGGTCATACTAAACCAATAATGGACAAAGAAACTGGGGGTATTCTATACTGGGCCTCAGTTATATTACCACTTTATCATCAGTGGGCTGGCAAAGTGCTTGGTATATAGAAACAATCTTTCATATATGTCTTAAATGATTTTTCTGAGCACTGGTGACTTATTCTTCTGGTTAGTAGCTATTTCCTGTCTCATTTAAGTAAAGTTTAATTCAATTAAAACTGAATAACAACGAATTTTTTTTAAAGCTGGTTTATCATTGTCTTAATTTTTCACTACTTTGGAGTGTATCTAAGAGAAAAAACCCTGGATTAAAAGAAGGCAGGGAATATGTAGTTTAGTTTAAGGTTTTCCTGTATTTTTATAAGTTAAAACAAAGCTTACATGCCTGTCCCTCAGTTTCTTCCTATGTAATTATACTGGTCTTGTTATTTTACACCATTATTATAAGAGTAAAATAATAGCATAATTAGGAAATATAGTAAGCCCTATATGGATACAGGACTAACTGTTATAGCATTATACTTCTGGGATGTCAAGTGGATATTATAGAAACTATATTTTAGCTGTCTGATCTATACATGCAAATGTACATTTCGTATGTGAAGAATAGGGCACAATACATTACAGGTGTGTCAAGATGGGTGGGATACATGGTTCTTGTTCCAGAAATTTACTGTTATAAGTTGGGGGGAAAAAAGCCAGAATTCGGTAAGAGAGATAAGTAGGTATTAGAGGAGAGGATCAGAAAACAAAGATATACACACATTCTTTGTCTCTCTCGACTTAAAAAGAGAAAATGGTTTTACATTAATGGCTCATCACCACTTTAAGAATCTTTCTTTTTCTTTTATTTAATCTCTCCTAATTCTGAACTCTTACATAGGCAAGGAGACTTTCACTACTCTTAGTATCTTATTTAATAAAACAAAATATAATCATGATTGAGACTATGTATTGAAGCTTCATATTAGCAACCAAACATATTTTGAATTATTGAAAATTCATCATTGTATTCTGTTCTTTCTGAAAATAATTGGTCTTTGATGTGTAAATTATGTTTTGATTTTTAATTGAAGTGGCAATTGCATTACATTGTAAAATTAATACTTGATTTTTTTTTTCAGTACTGGGACTTGAACTCAGGGCCTTCACCTTCAGCCACTCTACCAGTCTTATTTTTGTGAAGGGGTTTTCTAGATAGTGTCTTGAGGAACTATTTTCCTGGGCTGGCTGATTTCTGCCTCCTGAGTAGCTAAGATTATAGGCATGAGCCACTAGTGCCCAGAAATATTTGATTATTAAAAGGATCATTTAACATGATCACCTGAATGTTATGAAGGAAAAGTACTATAAAGTAATTTAAAATTTTCAATGTTAATCCACACTTTTACCATGAAAAAATAATTTATTCAAAACTTTTCTTTTGAATGAAGTTTCATAGTTTCTTACCCAAATGTTGAATATCCCTTAAATATTTATTCCCCAGTATTTTGTAATTTTTATTTCTTTGTGAGTAGAATTGCCTTTCCCTAGCATATTTGAACTTGTTATTTTTGATACATTGAACGCAAACACACTTGGTATATTTATTTTGATTCAGCTGCCAATGATTTTAGGTTGATTTTGGTTTTTGTGGGCTATTTTTATAGATTTTACTCTTTAAATGATTTTAGCATGTATTAATTGTACAAAGTAAGGGGATTCATTGTGACATTTCCATACATGCAGATATTATATTTTGATTATATACACCCCACCATTACTGTCTTTCTTATCTCCATTCCCCCTAAGCTCTCACTTTTGTAAACTTTCTTGCAAAATTTTTAAATGGGTTTCATTATGATCCTTTCATAAATGCATACAATGTACTTTTTTTGACTTCTATGCACAGTGTCATTGTGCTGAGCAGTTGGAAATCTTGTAAGAAGTATTAGATCAGCTTCTTAGGGGAAAAAGACATAGATTCAACTAAGAATATTTAGAACAAGAAATTAATATTAAACACTAAGTATGTCTTCTGGAAAAGCTCACCAAAAGAGGACATGTAGATATAAAAATAAAGATGCTGAAGGGA